TTTAAAATACATTTATTTACTTAAAATTTGCAATATTTAGGTATATTATGAGTGAATAACTGAAATCCATATCAGTTTTTGATATAATTAATATAGTCAATATAATTTGAGATGGAGTTTTATTTCGGAAAAATATTACACCAAAAGTGATAATTATTTTTTGGTGGGGGAAAAAATTGTTTGTCATTTTGAAACATTTTGGGTAAAAGCGCGGTTACTAAAATTTAGATAAACATATAATTTAATATATTATCTAAATTTTAGATATCATATTTAAAGTGATATGTCACTGTATTACCCAGTACTCACTGACCGTCATTCGCCTACCTTTCCTCTACGCCTTCAGCGGTTTTCTTTTGGATGTTTTAGACTATAAAGCCTGATAAAATTAAGCCTACTAAGAGTATTCAGATATAAATTCTGCAAAGATATTTAAAGTTATCGGTCTCTTTTCTAGGTTATTGTGGAAACTGGAAATCGATTTTTAATATTTCTATTATAGTGTGTTGAAATCCTATTTTAATTACTAAATATTTTCAGTATTTAATTCCATTATTAAGTAAATGAAACATATTTTGAGATGAGAGTAAATTAAATACAATTTTTGCGATGAGATTAAATATTTTTACATAATTGATTTCCGGTTATTCTAAGTAGACTAGTAATTTCGTCAATTTTTTAGGTCCTAAAGACCACCAAAATGGCATTTACTCATTGAAAAAATTGTTCAAGCTAGAAATAATACCTTGAATCATATAAAAAGTAGTCAGTAAATAAATTTAAATAACTGACACTTTTTTAAATTATTTTCTGTGTGTATTTCTAAAGCGTAAGCAAGTGTTTAGTGTTACTGTATACTGTATAGTACAGGGTTTTCCCCGTATCGTCCGTACAGAAAACCCATAATTAATATAATAATCTGATACGTTATAGTCGATGACCAAAACGAATCAAAGACGTGGTCCCCACTACTTAACCCCTTGGCCCTTTCACACCATAAGGTATAAGCTATACGTTACCAAATGGCAAAATAAACAAGACTCAAGAGTTCTATCTGTCGGCTGGTTCCTATGCAGCAAATACTAATAAAGTATATTAATTTTTGTGATCGTTAACGGTTAAACATTAAAAGTGTTATACAAAAAATGGAAAACCGATACAGTAATGTTTGGGCGCATTTTACTATTATCGATGACACATTCGCTAAGTGTGATATTTGTATAAAAAAAATATTCATATAAGTCAACTTTAACTAATTTAAAAAAAAACATTTAAAAAGTGTCCGTTTAATATCCTGCGGACAAACTCAACAACTTAGCCATCATGTAAGTTATAAGCGTAAACAATATTGTAAAAATTAATATAAGCATTACAATATTGTAAAAATTAACATAAGCGTTACAATATCATAATTTGCGCGAAACATCCCATCGAATTATTAATTTTTGATTTGCGTTATCAGAAAACAATTTTTATTCGAGATTCCATTTGTGCAATATACCACGTATTTTGCGAGATTTGGATGTTCAAATTAGTATTTTTTGTGCCATTTTACGATCTAGAGTATCCCAAAATTATCAGAAGATTTATATCAGAAGATTTATTTTCATGTATTCCATGTGTATATATTTTTGATTTTATTTAGATTAATTTGGTTAAGCTAGTTATCGATAAAACAAAATTGTAAGTACCTAGGGACCAGTACACTAGGCCAAATTATTGGAGATGGTCTTCAAAAATATATGTTATACTTTTAGGATGATTTAAAAAAAAACCTGTTTTTACAGAAAACATATTCAGGGAGAGATTCGACTCCCAAAATCCCCCCCCCCCCAAAGACAGCTTTATAAAAGGTAAAATAAAATATAATGTATTATAAATGTAACCATTAATGTTTAAAAATAATAAAGCTTTCATAGTTTTTGTAAATTTGTTTTTTTATTCATATCTTCTTGCAATCGTTGAATTTTCCATTTTAAAACAATTTTTAAATTTGTCTTTATTTTAGGAAAAATGTTTTTTCATTGTGTAAATAATTTTTGTCAACCATTATTACATTCAAATATTTCTGTCAGGGAATGCCAATTTGTAATGAATTTAGTTTATTTAGAGGATTAAGACGATAATTGTAGATTCAAATCTTAATTTTATTACTAATTGATATTTAAACTACTTTTATTAGCAGGTATTAGCACTTAATCTCAATATTTTTAATATTCACATTAATTATAAATCGTATAACATATATTTCCATTGGCCCAGTGAGATTTTAGGAGTTCTTTAATTTTAAGTTGATTTTAATACTACCTAAGAGATTCTTGGTTGAAAATTATTATTATTTTTTTTATTATTAACGAAAAAATGTAACAGTATATCCAATTAAACCTTGTATCACAATCTATAAATTTATGTAAATCACTTACCCTCGAAAATTGAATACGTTGGTTTCCAGGTTGGCCCCAAAAGTCCATAATTATTATTTTTTACGAATAGATTTCAATAATTGGGGGACTAAAAAAATTGCACCTATGAGTATAGTAAAGATAGAAACTTCCGTATATACCTCCTTATTTAGGACTTTATAAAACACTTTATATTTTATACTTTGAATACAACATTTCGACAGTATGTATAATATTTTCTTTATTTAATCTATGTTTGTTCTTAGTGTATCTAGATGAATGAGCCTAGTCATCGAAAATATTATAACACAAATGGCTAGGTAATTTTCAAACTTATTAGTATTATTTCCAACTAATAGTCGTTTTTAAACTTTTAACTTCTTCTCATTTCTAAACTTGTCTGTGTTTATAACTTTAAAATTAAGCGAATAGTGTAAATAGTTTTATCGTTTTCTATTTTCAATCTATTCAAAATTTAATTTAATCAAATTATTGATATATTTAGGAATGATGATGAAAATATTACCAATTCCGATACAGAAAACACAGACTCTCCCATTAACTCACGAGATAGCTCTCACTTTGAAACTCCGACCTCATTCCCGATCTATTTCTGCGATTAGTGTTTCTTCATCTAGTACTGTATCAAGCAACATAGAAACGACACCCAGAATAGAGGTAAAAACAAACTACATCCGTGAAAGAAAACGTCAATGCAAACGTTTAAGTAACAGTAAATTAGTTAGACCATGCAATGCCCAAAGAACTGAAGAAATTCACCAAGCATTAGCAAAAATGGTAGCTTTAAACCAGATGCCAATATCTTTTTGTTCTAGTTTGGGATTTAAACAATTTATTTATGAACGTGGTTGAACCAAATTATAAACCATGTTCTGCTAGTACCCTTTCTAAGCGTTTAGATTTATTTTTTAAAGAAATAAAGGGTAAAGTTAAATGTGATCTTGAAGAGGCAATGAGTGTTTCTTGTACTACTGATTGTTGCACATCTCGATCACTAGAATCATACATTACAATAACAGCGCATATTATAGATACTCAATGGAAACTAAAAACATTCACGCTAACCACTCATGAAATTGAAGAACGCCATACAGCCGTTAATATTGCGGAACATTTAGAAAATTCGTTTGTATATTGGGGTATCGAAAATAAAATAAATGCCGTAGTGACAGATAATGCATTAAATACAGTAAATGCTGTTTCACACTTAAACGTAATGGAAAAATGTGGGTTAACTTGTTCTGCACACACACTGCAATTGGCTGTAAATATAGCCCTTAATAGTGAAGACATAAAAAGTATTACAGGGAAAGCGAGTAAAACAGTAAGACATTTTAAGCACTCAGTTATTGCAATGAAATCTTTAGAAAAAACCCAAGAACAGCTAGGCAAACCAAACCTTACTCTTTTACAAAGCTGTAAAACTAGATGGAATTCTTGTTTTTTATGCTGGAACAACGTCTTCTAGTTAACAGAATACCTTTAACAAATGTTCTTGCGGATCGTAGCGTCACAACAGCACGTATTGCACAAAATATAGAGCTCTCAGGAAGTCAGTGGATATGTATGGAAACCCTCGTACAACTTTTAAAACCACTCCAGGCTCTTACAACTATATTTTGTAGTGAATCCGATTCACCGGTTTCTATGGTACGACCCCTAGTAAACAAAATTTTATCTTGCTATTACCAGGCGCATGTAGACGATGACGACATAGCCACGCAGTTTAATGCTACTATTACATATGAGTTAACAACTAGGTTTTATTTATCATGAAATGATAACGTATTAGCTAGGCAAATTGCATCATTTCTTGACCCTAGGTACAAAGATCTAGAGTATGAAGCATTAGAATGTAGAGAAACTATTCGGTCAAAAGTTAAGGAACTCGTCGAAGCGGAGATTGTCAGCACTAAAGACAACGCTGAACAAGAAAAAGAAAATGTACAAAAAACCAATGCGTTGGCATTTATTTACCAGAAGGATAACCGTAGTATAAAAGACGCACCGACACAGTTTGCAGGATATCTTTCTGAGCCGCAGCTTCAGTTTGACCTAAACCCATTTGAATGGTGGAAGGCTAGAGAGGAAAAATATCCAGTTGTAGCTGCTATCGCTAAAAAATATCTTTCAATTCCAGCTACTTCTGCTAGTTCGGAAAGATGTTTCTCTACTGCTGGTAATATTGTTACTTCCAAAAGAAATTGTCTCAATCCAGAAAATGTAAATATGTTGGCATTTTTATACCAAAATAAAGGTTTATACATCTAAGAGTTATTCTTGTCACAATTATTATATTATAAATTGTTTATTTAACAGTGAAAATTATATTTTTATTTTTTTTTCTATGATTTTTTGTAGGTAACGTTATTGTTTATTAAGTTCAATTTTGTTATTAATGAAGTATGATCAAAATTATATAATTTGTTATTTATGATAAACATTATATTATACATGACATAAAAGCTGGAATTTTGTAATTATTTACTCAGGTTTTTTTACTGAAATTAAAATGATATTGACTGATAAATTATGTTATATAATATAGGTATTATTTACAGTTTAATTTTTATAGACTCACACTTTATTCAAAAAAATCAGTTAAAAAATAAAACCCTGTAAATTATAAAAAAAAATATATACATAATACATATGTATTTAATAAGGCTAAATCAAAGACAACCTACGTATATAATCAATTCTATATTAAATAAGTGTACTCGGAATTTATAAAACAATAATAAGTAAATGGCGATTAAGTTACAAATATACAATTACACGAATATACTAACACACTAATACACGAATACACGAAAACGCGAATGTACGTATACACGAATACACGAACTGTTGTAATACTATACATAAATATAGTATCAGAGTGCGAGTAGTAGTAGTAGTAGATGATAATCAAGTATTCAACACAAATAAAGTTATTACAATAATAGATATATTATACATAGAATATATACAACACAGTGAAACAATAATACACTAGTAATATGTATAAACTGAATAGAAATACTGAGCCCCGAGCCCTTAGATGAAATGCTATTTATATTAACCCACAAGGTTGCACGCGTCTACACATACACGTGTGCTTACAAAAACAACTTTGTTTTTCTATAACATTTCCTGGTTAACAACTACGTATTTTTATTATACAGATAAACAACATATTTATATATTGTGAAATACTTCCTGATATATAGAATATTAATTATTATTCCAACACACCCCCTTAATTAATATTTTCTTAACACTATATTAATCTTCTGTGATCCTCTTCACGCCTATGATTGACCGTAACTTTTCAAGTCTGTACTTGGCTAATGGCTTCGTGAAGATGTCAGCTAGTTGGTTTTCTGTTTCTTTGTACTGCAGTTCAAATACACCTTCTTCAAACTTCTCCCGAATGAAATGATAACGAACATCAATATGCTTTGACCTCTTGTGAAAAACTGCATTCCTAATCAAACGAATAGTACTTTGATTATCTATTTACAAAATAGGTTTATACAATCCCTTTTCATTAGTTAATTCAGTTAACAATCTTTTAAACCAAATTAAATTTCTTATCGATTCGCAACTGGCGACAAACTCAGATTCAGTTGAACTCAGAGTAACTGATGCTTGACGTTGTGAATTCCACCCTATTGTACAAGGTCCGCAACAAATAAATCCCGAAGTAGATCTTCGTGTTTGAATGTCGCCAGCATAATCCGAATCGCTGTAGACACTCAAAAATAAATTATCATCTGATTTATAACACAAACCATAATCTAATGTATGTTTAACATAACGCATTATACGCTTGACCATTTGCCAGTGTGCATTTGTAGGTTTTGCAAGAAAACGACTTGCATCATTAACTGCAAACGCTAAATCCGGTCTTGTTACTTGTGACAGAAGTAACAGTGACCCTACTGCTTGTCTATAAAAATTATTACCTGGCTGTAATACCTGCGTATCTGTGTTATCGAATGACGTGTCTGTTCGAGATATGGGGACAGAAACTTCTTTAGCATTATTCATATTAAATCTTTCAATAATATTATTTGCATACTTGGCCTGATGAATGAATAATGAACCATAATTTTGTTTCTCTATTGACATACCTAGGAAATTATCTAAATCTCCTTGTGTGATTTGAAACTCTTGTTGTAAACTTGAAATGAGTTCTTGTGATTTTGCAATACTGTTTGAAGCAATTAAACCATCATCGACGAATATAGCTAAAATAACTATTTCATTATTATCATGATTTATATACACACATGGATCTGAATCAGTTGGATTAAGATTATATTTTTCTAGAAAATGTCTAAATCTAAAATTCCAATTTCTTGGTGATTGTTTTAATCCGTACAAAGACTTACGTAATCAACACACTCTACCCGAGTTGTCATTAAAACCCAATGGTTAATCCATGTAAATTTCTTCATCTAATTCTCCATGAGGAAATGCCGTTTTCACGTCGAATTGTTTGAGTTCAAGTTACTTAGCCGCATAAACCGCTAATATTGTACGTATGCTTTCATATCGGCATACTGGACTAAAAACTTCTCCAAAATCCACGCCTGGTTTTTGTCTTGACCCGTTAACCACCAAACGCGCCTTAAATCTCTCGACTTGACCATTTACATTGTACTTAATTTTAAATACCCACATATTGTTTAAAACACTTTTATTTATCGGTCTGTCGACAAGTTCCCACGTTTTATTTTCAATTAATGACTTAAGCTCGTCATTCATTGCTTCTTCCCACTTATTTGCATACTCACTGTTTATCGCTTCATAATAGTTAACTGGTTCTGATATACTAAGCATGCACCAAATATCTTACCGGTTTTTGTAATTGGCTGCGGTTTCGTAAACTGTACCCATGAGTGTCCGTGACTATAGGTATGGTTACCGTTTCCTCGTTTTGAACTGGTTTTTCATTCACGACTTGTTCCTTCTCGTCGTCAACCTGTGTACCTGTGTAACACTTTCGCTTATGCTAATTTCATTTGTATTTATTATTTCCTTAGTGAATATAACGTCCCGGCAATCATTTACCGTTTTCGTATCATTAAAATAAACCCTGTACCCGCGCTTGTCAATAGAATATCCAATGAAAATACCGCTTCTAGACTTGGCATCTAACTTTTGACGTTTTTCCTTGGGTACATGTACATACACTTTAGTTCCAAAAACTCTTAAGTGATTTATGTCAGGCAATTTATTATAATACAACTCATATGGATTTTTATTATTAATTGAGCTTTTACCTGTGAGATTCAAAGTATAATTAGCGTATGATATACTTTCTGCCCATAATGATAAATCCATATTTCTGGAATATAAAATTGATCGACCAGCCTCCACCAACGTACGATTTTCGCGTTCTGAAGAATTCTGTTGTGGTGTGTAGGCTATTGTTTTCTGATGACGGATTCCATACTTGTTTAATATTCCTAAAACCTGTTTATTAACAAACTCTCCGCCGTTGTCCGAACGTATTGCTATTATTTTATTACCTGTCTCATTTTTAAAACATTTAATAAACAATTCAAGTTTGTCTTTAACTTCATTTTTATGTTTTAAGAAATATACAGTTCTAAAGTGTGAAAAATCATCTTTAAAAACAAGATAATGTTTTGACCTGCCTAGAGAATCTGTCTGGAAAGGTCCACAAAGATCAGTAAATATTAATTCTCCCACTTTTTGTGATTTGTCCGTACGACTTTGAAATGATTTTCTACTATGTTTACCCATAATACATGCCTCGCATGTGAAGTTATTGTCACTCTCCAACTTAATATTATGTTTAAGTAAACAACTTCTTACGTAACCAATGTTTTGATGTGCCATACGTTCGTGCCACAATGTTAATGAACCCGCTACTACGGCCGTTGCTTCTTGCTGCATATCGTTGACGAAACCCGTTTTGTTAATTGGCTGGTTCTGTATTCTAATATTAACATTATACAAGCTATTTTTGCGTACCGCTTCACAAATGATCTTGTTGTTTAGTAAGAATACACATTTTTTATTATCCGACTTCATTTTCATGCCCTTGTCCAACGTAGAACCAATACTGAATAAATTATATTTTGGTTCAGGTACATAATAAACATTAGTCATAAAATTATTATACTGATTATTTCTAACATAACATATAATATTGGTTTGACCAGAACCTTGCGCATATAAAATAGTGCCATCGCCTATTTTCACTTTAATTGGCGATTTAAATTGACTATAATGAACATACCAATTTTTATGTCCCGTCATATGATTAGTAGCACCAGTCTAGATACCAGTTATCCGATTCCTGTTCTGTGAATAACAGTTCACTGTAAAAAGCTTGTCCTATTTCACTTGATTGTGACGAATTTCCCTTGGCATCGTCTTGGTCCTTTTTATACTTCCTGCAGTCCTTTTTAAAATGACCGCCCTTTTGCAATCTTTTTAGTACCCACATTTGGATTCCCAACTTTCCGTTCACCAAATTTTTCACTGCCTGTCTTTTTAGAAAATTTCTTCTGGAACTTTCTAACAGTTATAGCATTATTTTCTTCTACAGATTCAACTACCGAACTACCTTGATTCATTCTCGACTCCTCAATAAGTAACCGAGATGTTAGTTCATTTAAATTCTTACTTTCTAGCTGCATTGAGTCCCATGCACTGTAAAAATGTTTATAATTCGATGGCAAGGTCATTAGAATTTTCGTCATAAGCATAGATTCTGTGACTGGTTGTCCCATCAAACTAAGTTGATTCTGTAGGTTTTGCAATTTGGTAATATGCGTCGACATATCGTCAGCCGAGTCCTTTACGTAACTGAAAAATTTATGTTGTATTAAATGTATACTCGCCTCGTTTTTCTGCTCATAGACAGCGAGTAATTTTGTCCACATTTCATACGATGTTTTACAGTTAATCAGGTATTGCATTGGACCGTTGTCAACCGATGTTACTATCAGTTTTTGGCATTTGGAGTCAGCACGTTGCCAATATAATAGATCCTCTTTATATCTTTTCTGGGCGTCAGCTTCTTTGCTTGTTAGCACTGGTTTTGTATACTCTCCTGCAATTAAACTACCCAACTCATATGAAGTTAGTATTACCTTCATCTGAAATTTCCAAAGTGTCCAACCTTCAATATTGCATAGCTTGGCAATCTTTATTGATTCTTCCATATCAATAGATTACGTACTTGTATAGTACCCTTGAACGACTTTGATAAGTGTATATCCAATATACACTTCGTCAGGTGCTGC